GTTTTAGCACTTTGATATTTTTTCTGTAAAACAGTGTAATTACTGTAATAATTATTTTTTACACGTGTCCTTTGTTTCCTTTTGTCTGTACAGTAGCAGCTTGTGCTTCAACTCACTGCTCTCCTGCTCGTCCAGCTCGGCGGCCTCCAGCTTGGCTCCCTGCAGGCCGGGATGGACGTACATGTCCGGGGACAAGCTAGTCTCCCCGCGGTCCTCCTCCCGCACCGCCAGCGCGCTGAGGTAGGCCAGGTTGTCCTCTCCTTCCGAGAACGAAGGACTGTCCCGGGCCCCGGCGAGCATGCAGGACGGCGGGGTTTGGAAATGCTGCTGCTGCGGCTGCTGGGGAGGAGACCCGGCCAACTGCTGCTGGGTGTGGGCCCGGTGCTGCTGCTGTTGCTGTTGCTGCTGCTGCTCCAGCTTGAGGATATCCTTGACAGAAAACGGCGTGGAGGTGAGCGGGCTCTGCAGCATCATGTCATCCAGCTCCTGCTCTGCAGCACCGAGGAAATGAAGCCCGCCGAGTAACATGCACACTCCTTCTCCTTTTCCACTCTTTTTCTAACAAATAATTGAGCTTGATAGCCCCTTCTTTGGTAATTGGGGTTGCGTTAAGCCTCTGGACTCCCTCATCGCCATAAATCGCACAGAAACATGGGCATAAGTCCCGGTTTTGTCCATGCAGGTCTCCTCTCTGACAGATATAATGTCGAGCTTTGTAAATGGAGTTTGGACCGGGGCGAAGGCGCGCCTCTGATGTCAGGGGGAGGGGTGTGTGAAATGGAAAGTCCGCGTGGGCTGGAAGGGAAGCATTTGGGAGAGAGAGTCAGGGAGAGGGTAGGTGGGGCGTTCATGACGTATGTTCACGTAGTGTTTTTTTTTTTCGGACCTGTCTGAATATGGTGGAAAGAATTTTACTGACACGCTGCTCCTCCAATGCCCACTGTGTTTATCCGTCTGTACACGCTGACTACCCCCCAACAGCTTTAAAGCACAAATATTGTTTCAATAAGCACGTTAAAATCCCTGCTCTGCGACTGCAAATATATGACCCAAGCCTTTACTTTGCTTTGTTTTGTTTCAGTTACAGTTTTCAACAGTCGGTCCTTGTGTTGGTTCGTGCGTAAATCTGTGCGCTCTTTGGAGAGGCGCGCCAGGCGGCACAGTCGCTGCAAGAACGGCACGTCAAGGTCAGGTCAAAGCACAATAGAGTCAGTGGGAACCTCTTGGCATTGTAGTTTAACTTTACACAGTGCTTGAATGAAACCTTAAGCATCACCTCACGCAAAACAAATTCTGGTTGATTTTGGTTCACCGTAATTATAAAAGAGATAAAAGAGAAGATTGTGCCACCAAAAACCTGCAGTGAAAACGGCTTCACCCTGCCCTGGCCTTTAACTGAAAGATTTAAGCAACATTTTTGGCTTAAAGTGGTCGAACTCAATTAAACTGACAGGAAATAATGGATTCTGGCAGGTGCATTTAGAATTTTTAAATGAATTTCAGATTGACATCAGTTTGCTGAAGGCTGCTCGTCGGATCCATACATGGACCTCTTACAAAGCTAAGGTTTGTTAAAAACTCAACATTTCTAAACTTGCCAAGGTTTCCAAAGACACCAGATCTGCCAGACTGTACAACAGGGAAATGTTTGTAAAGTATTCCAGAAAATATAGAAAATATTAAATTTTATGTAGTAGATGAGACATTAAATGTCTGTTTGAGCTTTGAATATTTCATTCTTCTCTCATATGATAAAGCTCTAGTAAAGCACCCGTAAAATTACAATGAGCTACATATTTAAATGTGAGATTCTCTGCAGTTTGCTATTGAATGCTTGGTAGCTATAAACTCTTCAACTCTATCAAACAAAGACTATGTTTGATTTTGCCAGCAGCAGCAGGCTGCATTGGGTGTCTCTCCGTCCTCTTTATCGCGGGTGTTGTATTAATAACCGCCCTGGGCCGATAAGCAGGGCCCCCCGGGGCAATTAAGATTCCTCCAGGAAAACTGACCGACGTTTTTAGTCCGGCCTAATCTGCTCCTATCAGCTCCCCTTTCCGTTTTCCAGCGGGACCCCTGGCCTCTGTCACCCTGCTCCTTTTGACGGTTTGTCTCAACACAAAAAGCCTGTAAGGTTTTTAGAAAATATATTAACAAAACAAATGTTGGTAAGTTAGATTTCACGTGTGTCAAATTTACATCCTGCTATTTGACATATTGAAAAACTGGTTAAAGCCAAATGTAGGCCTACTGTACAGTTATGACGACGTTATTATGATAAAGTGGAGGAGCCTTCCACATTAACTCTTATTATTTATTATTATTATTATTATTATCATTATTATTATTATTATTATTATTAGCATTATTGCTGTTGTTGTTGTTGTCAAGGAGACATTTTCAGACGAACATCATGTTGTTTCAAAGCCTTCCTCACACTGCTTTACAAAATGTAATTCTTGTGGAAACTAAAACCCCTTTATTTCAACTCATAATTTTATTTTGTATAATAAAAAAGGTGAAATTTTAAGTTTCTGTGTGCAATAACGGAAAATAAACTCCTCTTCATGCCATTAACCCCCCAAATTGACCTTGACCTTGCTGTCCTCAGTGGTAGCTACAGCCATGATGCTTCTCTCACAGTGTTTAAGGATTTGTCCCCTTATAGCAGCATTTTGTGCTTGAAACGCTGCAAATCTTAACCATTAAAGATTATGTCTTTTAAAGAACGAGACTTTGGTCTAAACTGATGCTTTTCTGAATATGTAATATATTTTTGTTCAAATGCTTTAAATAGCTCCACAGAAGGAGCTGGACATCAACAGTTTATGTTTATGATGTGGATTATAAACCAAACTCCAGCTGAGTTTTAGGTAGCAGACACATGACTTAGGTATAAGACTATGTGCAATACGTGCAGTACTGGTATATATATGTATATATTTATATATATACATATATGTAATGTATAGTCTTCAAGTGTAGTAGGGTTTATGTCATTACAGATTAACTACTTTTATAGTGAAATTCTGGATTTCCCTATCTTTACATTTGACAGTTTTTCATCAAATAATTTATCCCAAAAACACAGCTGAACTGTTTTTCTCCTGTTAAAAAGACCATAATCAGAGCTTAAACATGTTCACAGCTGCCTTTGGCCAAACCCCAAACAAAGTGAAACTGTGAACTCCATTTCAGTTCTGCTGATGTCCTTTGTCCATTTTCATAAAATCATATTTAATTACCCTCAATCTAGGCCCGAAAGCCTCCAATTTTTGTGGAAATAATGTTGTCAAGTTTGCACAATGGAATAAATCCAACGTCAAAGCTTTGAGCTTTTGCCAAAACGTTTTGAACAAATAATATAATAATAAATTGGGGATTCCATGGCACTTGATCAAATTTTGAGATTAATAGGACCTTTTAGTTTTTCTAAATCAAACTTCTAAGCTTTCTGTAAGAATGACACAGTTTCACATAACAGACACAGTTTTCTCTGCCATATCATAATATCATACTTTGAATAAATTGTGAGTCAACTGTTGGTGTGCACATGTCTATATTGTAAAGTCAAATGTCTCTCTAAATGGGAAAGTACAATCTGGATCCTGCATGGCCTCTCAGAGACCTGGGCCAGGTCTCCCCTTCACTGCGTCCCTGTGTGTAACCCAGGTAGTAAATATCCTGATGTGCAGCAATTTAAGCTGGAAAAAGATAGATATATGTGTAGTTGTCCCTGTAGACTCCCCGGCGACTCTCTCCAATTCACGCGCGTCCTCGTAAAAATGTGCCAAACAAGGCAGGATAGTGTTTAGACTGGCACACAGCCGCCTCCATTTACTTTAAATAAGCATTAAATCCAAGGACGCCAGGCTGAGCACTGTGTTTTCTGTGTTGGGCTGACACTCTACAGCAGCTATAGGAAAGAAATGAAAACTTTAAGTCACAAGGCTGGATGATATTTCTAGGACAAGGTTTCCAAACTGGGATTCAGGGATCTCCATGAGTCTTTGAAGGGTTTCCGGGAGATCTTTCATGAGTTTTGGACATACAGGAAAGGACTAAGTCAGGTGACCATAGTCGTCATCATGGTAAGAAGTTTGGATAGGTCTAGGCTCCAAAACTAAGGTACAGGAAAAGATCTTGGTTTGGATTACAGTAAGAATGTTAAATACATAAGTTAAGTTACATTATATACATGACAAAAGTTAAACATTACCTAAGTTTACTTAGGTAAAAGAAGTCAGAGTTGACCTTTCACATGGGACATGAGCAGCAGTCTGTGAAAGTCCTGTGCTTGTTTCACCCATCCAACCACCCTAAACTCCTCTCAATGCAAACTTTGTAACTTTATATGATGTTCCCTGACTTTTGTGTGGCTAAATCCCGCAGCTTTACGAAGCTTCTTAGGTTCTTTTAGCTCATTATTTGTTTTTTTATAACACATTTTATAGAAACTCACCTCTCCCATCAATGTTGTTTCCAGCAGCATGGAGTAATTAGCACAAACAAACAGAGCTAAAAGGAGAGTGAATAATGGACATTTTTAACATTTTGCTTGAGGTGTGAACCTCAGGGATCATGACTGGGACCTCTGAGGTTTTGTCATCATGTGCCCATGCAGGAAAGCCCGTAGAGGACTGAATGATTGTGGATTCTTGTGCAAAATGACTGGTGCTAACAGAGCTGGAAGTAAGACTGCAGGCTTTATCTTTCACACAAACACAGATGTCAGTTAAAATCTCAGTGGAAACTAGTGGAAAGTCTGAAGAGAAGAATTATTTTCTCAAAAGATAAAACTAAATAAATGGACATAACTTCTTGCTTTCTGTGCTGTCAAAATTGTGATACTGATGATATGGGCTTGACGGTCTTACTGCCAATACAGTCTTTATGTTATTCTTATAATATGGTATAATAAGCAGAATATCATAATAAATACTGTGTTGAGAATGAAATTGATCTTTATAGACATCAGCCTTTTCTTTAATGATTAACTAATAAGACTAATAATAATATAATCTGCTTTGAGATTCCCATTAAATGTTTGTGAGGTTTGTGAGGGGGGCTATTATGCATTTTTTTCTAAAGGCTTCCTGTTATTTCAATTATTAGAACATGGTGCAGGGATGGACTCTCTCTCTCTCTCTCTCTCTCTCTCTCTCTCTCTCTCTCTCTCTCTGTTATAAACGGAGGTAACAATGGGAAATGCTACACCTCTTGTCTGCTGTCAATTGCAACCCAGCAGAGGCGCCAGGCGGCTCTGGATGGTTGGATGGAGAGAGAGGAGAGATAATCTCAGCCAGCGTCCTCAATAGGCTGTGTGTGTGCGCGCGCGTGCTTGTTTGTGTTTGGGGGCAGCTGACAGTTTTGATGGCCTTCTAAAGATTTAAGATGGATGTTAAACATTAAAGAGCAAGAAAAGGTATAGGGCTACTGTTTATAATGTTTACATTATCTTTAAAACATAAACCTGTTGGTGTTTTGTTACTAGCATATAATCAGAACAGCTACTCACTCCAGCAACAAAAAGAGACACAGTTTATTGTAAACATGCTACTCAGGCTGCGGTTCTAAACTCCATATAATATAAGCTGCCGTTAACAGCCTAAAACGAACAGGCGTAATTTAAGTTGCGAAACGGCACAACTCAAATTACAATAAAGTTTCACATTGAAAAAAAATTTAAATAACAAATGCTCCATTGTCGAATCTGTATATTAAATATGTGTTTTATACCTAAATATATATATTTGTAAAAACATGTTCTATGTAGGCAATTCTGAAAGCGTTTGGAAACGTGAGACAATTTGGTGAATTTTAGGAAATACATTTTAAAGCCTGTGTTCAGGGTCTATTCTACTGCATTTTTTCCTGTGATGAGGAAACATGTTTTGAGTCAAAAGAAGCTTTTAAAAGCGCGTCCCGTTGCAGATTTTCTTTTAGTAAAATTGAATAATTAGATGTAGTTGGTTAACTTATTTTTATTTTCTTAAATTGTCAACATTTGCAAAAAGCATATTTATGTTTTATAATTTGAGCGTTACGACTAAATTAAACATCAGTGTGATTCTGAAACACTCATTTATAATTCTGATGCCTTTTAGTTATTCACTGCCACTCCTGCCTGGTCGCTTTACACCAGAATAATCACAGTAATACAACTTTGATCTTTCCTAGACCTTTCATTAAAATGTTGTAATCTTTGTTCTTCTTCCATGAGATAAACGATTTTACATAAAGTAACTGAAAACTCATTGTTGT